ATCGTCGTCCGGCGGGAGACCCTTCCCCAGCCGGAAGATGTCTGCGCGATCCCTCAACACTTACCATTCAGGCCTGTCGGCTACGTCTCTTCGATCATCACGGTCGGTAATACGACAGGCGAGCAACATGCTACCCCAAAATCGCGACCGGCGCGTGGTAGATGGGGCCAGCGAAATGTTGACACCAGGTTTACATGATATCGCTGATGAAGTGCGGGCCGAGAAGATATCCGAAGCACTGAAGCGAAAGGAATGGGAGAGGTCGGAGAAGTGGCGGAAAATGGCGAAATACGTCAGGAAGGGTGCCCGGGGTGAGGGCACGGAATTTGAATTTGATGTCAAAAACCCAAAACTAATTGAAAGAACGTGGAAGGGAATCCCCGATCGGTGGCGCGCAGCTGCTTGGTGGTCGTTTTTGGATTCGAGTGCCCAGAACGACACCGAATCGCCGTCGGAAGAGGATATCATCAAAGCATTCCACGAGCTTCAGGACAAAAGTTCACCGGACGATGTCCAGATCGATCTAGATGTGCCCAGGACGGTCAGTCTGCACATCATGTTTCGACGAAGATACGAAGGTGGCCAGCGTTTATTATTCCGCGTACTGCACGCCCTATCGATATACTTCCCCGAAACTGGGTATGTGCAAGGAATGGCATCGCTGGGTGCGACATTACTCTGTTATTTCGACGAGGAGAAGTCTTTCGTTATGCTGGTGCGAATGTGGCAGCTACGCGGACTGGAACGACTCTATCGTCATGGCTTCGAAGGCCTAATGACAGCGTTGAATGAGTTTGAGACTATTTGGCTCCATAAGGATGTCGCCAAAAAGCTCGTAAGTGTTCCATCTTTTCGTCCATTGCGCCTTGGATGCCTTCTGCCCTATCAACGAAACGATGCTAACGGGCAATCTGATTATAGTCTGAACTCGGAATTGAGGCTACCGCTTATGGGACGCGGTGGTATCTGACTCTTTTCAACCTCTCACTTCCTTTCCCAGCACAGCTTCGTGTCTGGGATGTCTTCTTACTCCTCGGTGACAGCGGATCTAACCCAGTTGACGCCAAGCCGCAAAACAAGAAGTCTGCGGCGACGCCAATTGGTCCGCCGACGGGGCTCGGCATCCTACATGCCACAAGCGCAGCCATTGTGCAAGCATTGAGAGAGGTTCTTCTCGACTCTGATTTTGAGAACGCCATGAAGTCCCTCACGTCCTTCGTATCTATACAAGACGAGGATCTTCTCATGAAAGTCTCAAAAGCAGAGTGGAAGTCCCATAAAGGCAAACGGAAGGCATAGCAAGGCCTTCTGCCACCCAGACCACCTGACGCCATACTGTCATGATGCAGTATACGTTGGTTGTGATCGTCCACTCCTTACTTTTCCTTTGTCTATAAACACCGGCACGCCCGACCCAAGTTTTCTTTGTCTCATTATTGGATGAGCGGGAGCTTTCCAACAGCACCCACTCTCCCCCAATTAACCACTTAGTTGCGGGCTTGCCCACAACAGAACCTTACCACCTATCCAGGCATTATTTTTCCTTTGTCAGTCCGTTGAATCATACCAGTATTCAGTGGGCAGCCTTGTTTATGGTTGGATGATGTAGATATGGGGCTTTTCTTTGTTGGAGGCAATATGCTACTGGGATTTTGTTTTGGGCTTTCAGCGATATACCCTTCCAGCGAATAATGCTGGCTTTGATTTATTTGCCGCGGGAGGAGGAAGAGATTGGAGAGATGGGGCTGTGGTGGGGTTCCGGAGGTCCTGGTAATGAAATAATACGAGGTTGCGCGCGCAGGGAGAGCAGTTGGTATACTACCAAGGTACTTTGTGAGCTTGGTCGCGTGTGCCTTGAAAGCTCGATAGACACAGATGCAGATCAATGCTACTAGTAATGAACCTTTGATTACACTCAAGTTTCCTCGTTCCAGTAAAGCCCTCGTAGGCAAATGAACCTGCCAGCCGAGGCCAGACTTATAAGAAGAGCTGCCATACCTGGATCGCGTAGGCACCCTTGAACTGCAGGAAGAACTTTCCATCGGCTGCTTTGTCACCTCGAGCAGAACATTGCTCTCTCCCACCAAGAGTCTCGACTCGAGTCCCCGAGTTTTGGTTGGCCGTCGCTGGTCTGTGCGGTGCCCGGGATCCAGGTGGGGCCTATGCCGGCTCCGGCTCCGGAGACTTTCCAAAGAAGAGCAAAACGCTGTCTGAGCTTTGGGGGGGACCCGTCTGATTGGCCACGCGCGGGCTGCCAACGAGGCGGGCTCTCAGACATGGCGAGCCTTCCCTCTCTCTCTCTCCCCGGAACGTACATGTAGATCAAATAGATGCTTTTTTTCTTCTTTCTTTTCTTTCTTTTCTTTCTCAGGCTCTAGATTTGAGAAGGGGGGGAGTTTTCTGCGGGGATAATCTACGAGATGGCCTAACCCGGGTGACCCCTGGTAAGAAGAAGATGGGGGTATAATGGGGGAACTATCAACAAAAAAAAGACACACACGCACACGCACACACACTTTTTGGAGGGGACAGCGCGGTTACCGTAACTGGGGGACCAGGGGGCGTGTGGGAGGGGCGGAGGGCGAAACACAGAGAGGGAAATCATGCGACTCCGACATTTCGCCCCTACGAGGAGAGAGAGAGAGAGAGGTGCCAGCTGAGATCGGGGAACGGCTTGGATCCCAATTGACACACGTATGCAGTCATTCGTCCAAAGGGGAAGAGTCGTCTGCCCTCCCTCCCCTCTTCTCCCCAAGGCCCCTCCCCCCACCTATTCCTCAGCCCTCCCCCCGGGCTCTGTTCCAAGTTTCCCGTCCACGTCCAGGCTGGTTTGGGAAGTAGAATGGCGACCGCCAGGGATCACGGGGGTGAGGTGTGTGGGAAGCTGAGACGCAGTGGTAAGAGTCGGGTAGAGGAGACGGCTCTTTTGGCAGCAAAGCAGCCAAATAACGTCATACACGTGAGACGGAGGGGATAAGAGTAAACAGAAACCCCCTCCCCGCGATCCCCTGGAGACTCTTATTGCTTACCATCGAGTCGTCGGGAGGGGAGAGGGTTGGCAGAAAGGCAGAGGAAAGGGAAAAAACCAAGCCCCAACGTCCAGCCATCCATCCAGCCAACCGGTTTGAGTGTGCCCTTCCCTTGACCCAGTTTCGCGAAACCACGCGGCCGGTGTCGAAATGGGACAACGACCATGGAGGGAGTGGACGGGGAGTGCAGGCTGGGCATTTCTTAGTCCCAGCAGACGGGGCCAAACCGACACCCAACAACCAGCCAGGACGGACCTACATATAGACGCCTGCAAAAAAAAAAAACCTGCTCAGCTCCCGACGTAGCACCGGCCTCTGCTCGAATAAGGGGGCAGGCTCTTCTGCAACCTTCCAGCCGCGTCGATGGACACACGGGTTTCATCCTAAAGGTAAATAAGGTTTTGGTGGAATTTCACAGGCTGAGGATTCCCTCGCACACCGAAACCGCGACACTCCTGATAATTACTACTGCCTCTCTTCGAAGGATAGTCATAGAGAGAACGATAGGTAGGGGGGGGGGAGGGAGATGGCAGGGAGGGGAAGTGGTGCTCAGATCCAGTCTAGCCTTTCCAACTCCCCAGTGATTTGCTAGACGAAAACATCGCATCTGCTACACGATTCAACATGGCGACTAACGCGCCTGTCTAAAATATGCTGGTCATCCTGAAAACCAGCTAGAGGCACTCTCGGATAAGCTTTGGATCGAAACAGGTGGAAGACAGTTCACCAGATGTCCATGCCAAGTGATACATGATCCTGTTGAAGAACCCAAATCGCTCGTTCTGAGGCAGTAAGCAAGAAAAATACAGCTGAATCCAAAACCTCAAGGTAGCATTGCTGGTAGAGATACGGTTAGCCCGAGGCCCCATCATGCCCCCCGTCCCGACAAACTATAGTACGCAGCAATATAATGGCTTCCAGCTGGCCCAGGCCCAAATCCCTGGAGGCCCAGCCGTCATCCTGTGCACTGGGGAACCGGCGACAGGCCTTGTTGCATTGTCTCTTTGTGTCTAGGCAGGCACCACAGTCATTCACAAGTTCATCGCTAGCGAGCTCTTCACCACCACCAAATAACAAATCAAGTCTTATGCACATACTCTTATCATTTCCCATCCAACCCAGTTCCAGCAAGTAAACTATGTCGCCCATAGACCCTCAGGGCGCATGCGGGCTCATGCAATGCAGGGAGAAAATATCTAAGAAAAAAACGGCTTCCTCTCCCCATCACTAATACAGTTGTAGAAAGAAAATTGAAAATGCTAAACCAGCCTTATCCGAACCTAGAAGCTCACAAATTTGTCCTTTCTAAATATATAAACCGTACCCGTGTACCATCCGTAACTTTTATGAGCTCGCTCGTCTTAAACGTGAAATTCCAATCCAACAAATAGGATAAAAGATGCAACATCCAACAACGCCATAAATTTGAGTTTGTAAATAGTTGGCAGTCCGAGAATCAACCTCGGCTGCCAAGTCGGTGATGGTACTCAGTACCACTGAAGGAGAAAAGAGAGGTGCGGTTTCTATGAGCTACTGATGAGCTCCCGGGGACCTCGGTTCAACGGGTTCGGTTGATAAGAGAGACGATACCGAAGGTTTTCCAGCTTCGCTTCGAGATCTTCCCCTTGAACTACTTGGCCTCGAGGCAGGTCCAGATGCAGGTCCTAGTGAATCTCCCCTGGAACGCTCTGCTTCCTCGGCTCGCTCTTGCATAGGCAATGAAGAGCTGTACCAAGACATGTCGCTTTTCTGACGCTTGTGATGTTTCCGGCTAGGCGGAGGATTTGCAGAGGTCGCTTGGGAAAACGGAGGGGGAGATCGTAACCGCTGTTCGTTTGAGAAGCTCGAGCCGACTGGTTGAGGCCCCGTAGCCTTACGCTTTCTGGGAGGGTCCCCTATGTTCAGAGAGACCCAGGTTAGCTTATGGAGACTCTTCTTTCTCGCGCTTCCTCTTTGTTTTAGACGAACCAGATGGACTTCCTGGTCGAGTCGTGCCACCCCCTGCATACGATTGAGGCGGTTGCCAATGGTGAAAGGAGATACCAGGACTCGCCTCCTGACCAGGCTGAGGTTGTAGCTGGGCGGATGGTGGCACTACTCCTCCAGACGCAGGTAGGGACGAGGCCGTTCCCATGGGGTGGCCGACTGGAGGCCCGGTTGCCTGAACCCTTGCTCTGCTGGGAGACGCTGGGTAAGGGCCGTATGATGCTGCCGTACTGGGAGTTCCAGAGGGATATTGCCCAGGTGGTGGGGGTTGCTGGTCTCGTTGATGGCGCGGTGACACCGGTACCTGAGCTGGCAGTAATTGAGGGTATTGACCACCTTGTGCAGAAGACATAAACTGCTGCGCCCATTCCAATGCTGTTTGAGGCAGAGTACCGCCACCACCCATACCAGCGAACACGATTGGGATCATTGCTGGAGGAATCCCCCCGCCAATGGATTGACGTAGCATTTCGGCCTCGATTTTTCTCTGCTCCAAACGCAGTGTTTCCTGCCTGGTTTTCTCTTCCTCCTGCCTAGTCTTTTCTTCCTCGGATCTCGCCTGGAGCCAATTTCTCAAAGATTCTTCCTGCCACGAACTGGTTGGCGTGGGCAGTGTCGTCCAAGATTGTCCCGACAAATGCGGGGTCCCCGTTGGCTGTGGTGGATTCACGGAGAGCTGGGTAGGATGAGGATGAGGAAGGCTAGATGAAGTAGGTTGCTGTGGAGGAAGTGCCATTGCTGCCGGTGGCGGCAGTCCACGGTGTGAGGTCGGCATTGGATGGTTTACCGGGCTTGAGCTCCGCCGGAGGGCTGGGAGGTGCCTGTTGATTTGATCTTGGTGTGCGAGAGGAGGGGAAGGTCGGGAGGTAGAAGGCGGCGTCGGTAGGTCATGGACGGACTTGTAGCCGTAGGTTGAAGGCTGCTTGGCGGTAAGCATCGTAATATATACACTGCCAAAACAAAATTTCTTGATGGGATAGCAGGCAAAGCAATCAAGGCGGCTCAAAGCAAGATTGGTGCTTGGGTAGTTGAATGCAATGAATGAATGAATGAATGAAATAGGGTAAAAGAACTGGCGATGAAAAGGAAGAAGCAGAAGAACCCGAATGTGTCGAAGCTTCTATCAACAAGACAATTTACACATGTTAGGGCTGAGAAAAGACAGTCACGGACTGGAGAAAGAAAGGCATGTGACGAATCTCCTGCGTGCCTGTGTGCGCAGTTATGGGTGAAGTAGAAACGAAGAGGGAGTAACAAGCAAGCGATCGCGACGAGGTGGAGCCAACCTTTGTATAAGAGTAGAAGTAAGAGCTGGAGGTGACGGCCAGCTCAGTATGGGTAGTAGTTGAGACGACCAGGGCCAAGAGGACTCGGAGGCAAGCAAGACCAAGCTCATTTGCCAATCATGGATGCCGTTGCCATAAGTGGCAGTAGTGAAAGCGGAGGAAGATGACTTAAGAGTTAGTAGCAAGTATGAGGGAGGTGAGAGGTACCTCCAACTAAACGTCTCCCTGCAGGTCGGGAAGGTAATAAGCTAAGGCCTCTGGAGATGTTCGTTAGAGGGCCTATTACCGCATTTCCCAGAATGGGACGGCACCGGGCTGCTCAACGGAATGGGGGGGTGGTAAGGGAGGACTGGCTCGTTTGAGAGAAAGTGGAGGGGGGAGGGGGGGGACGGAGGAAGGCGAATGAATAACAAATGTGGGTAGTTTACGATAGAGCGAGCAGAGGAGGAGCTGCTATCTTGTTTGAACCATGAGACACGCCCAAGCAAGGTCAAGGGCGGGAAGAAGAGGCCAGACCCAAACTAAGAAAGCACGCACGCACGGCACGGAGGAAGAGCAGGGGCCGTAAGGCATGCAGAGATGCGCAACGGCGTGTGGATATAGGCGCCCCGGGGGCAGAAGAGACACACGGGCGGGAGCGAGTGTCAAGGTGCTAACTCAAAAGAAGTCGTCAGTCTGGCTGGTGCAGGATCTGCAGGTCAATGCTCTATGCAGAGCAAGGTGTAAGGCAGGTACCAGGTATCCTGTCTACCGCGGTCTGCGAGTTGCCCATGTACCAGGATTATGCAACCCCAAAGGCAAATCAGCACAGAAAGGATGGATGGATGAGGGATGCCCGGCGGCCAAAACCTACCTCCGCAGGTATAGTGCCAATCGAGAAAAGGTGACGACACTAACAGTGGACTCGACGGCAGTGCTATGTGCTAGTCGTCTGAGCTAGGAGGAGAGGGACCAGCCAGCCGGTGTGTCCGTTGCTGTTAGAGTCGCGTTGGTAGCTGGCCGGGGGCACTAGTTGAGACAGTAGGTATCTGACCAGAACTGGGAAGAAAAGACTGATAGTAGGTAATGAAGGAGAAGAAGAAGGAGAAAAAGGAGATGAGAGGGCAACAACAAGGTGAGTGAGTGGCTGAGGTCCCAAGCTCGACAGATCGAGAACGTTGACCCAGGCGAAGCCACAAAAAGAGTGTGGAGAAAGCAGGTTGATGAGATGGAGAAGCTGCGAGAGAGAGGCGAGACCCGTCCCGTCCTGGGCTGATGTTGATCCAAATGCTTGCTGTCAAAGCAACAACACAGCACAGCAGGGGGTAGATAAAATTGCAACAGAGCGAGTTGCACCAGCCGAAGTCGAAGCCCAAGCAGATGTTGGCCTGGGAGTGGAAGAAAGAAATTGGTCAGGAGGGCACAATGACATACGGGAGAGCGAGTGGGCGGAGGCTATGTGGGCAATTGGTCAAGATGACGACCATTGCATCTGAGTCTCGTTTTCTCTCTCGCTCTGCTTCTCTCTCTTCCTGCCTCCCTCACGAGACAAGCAGGCTGCTGGGACCAACTGGGTCCAGCTCTGGGGTGGGAGTTGGATCGGAGGCTCCTCGACACAGACCAAGGCAGTACTAAACCCGCCCGCTAATGGCGACCGACCCCCAGGTGCCCCCAACTTCAGCTCCCGACTGCTCGCTGTGTGCGGACCTCCAGAGGCGTCAGGTCCCTCCCTACTAGGCCTAGTCGTAGCAGTACATATCCATGAACCATGAGGCAGGAGCGTGGCTTGGGATGGTTCCAGGTCAGTACATGCAGTACCCACCTGAGGTAGGTACCACCCGTTTCGGGTGGCCTAGGCCCAGCCCAGCACCTGCAGCCCAGCTGTTTGGGTTGGCCTGCGTAGGGCCTGACCGTGGTCTAGGTCCCGGCCAGCACCGTGCTCTGCTGTAGTGCCCTGTGCTGCGCTGGCGGTGCCCTCCATCGCCCTACATGTATGTACCTAAATGTCCGTCTGGCTGTGCTCTGCTGAGTCGTGCCGAGCCGTGGGGTCCAATTCTCACCGGGCTGTGTCTTTGCTCCAAAAAGTCTATTTTTCTATCCAAATCCAGATGCTCGAGGGACAACTTGGAACCAAATAATGCCACCAGGTATATCGCTTCAAAATGGAAAGGAGCGGGTTATTCCAGGTTCTAGCCTGGGATCTAAGGAAGGGCCCCGTTTCCCAAGACAAGGGTATGGGTATATGCAGCACCTCGATCCGCACAATTACCCATGTAGGATTGGCCAGCCCTGACCAGAAGACGAGCGGTTTGGGCCTTCGCTTTTGCAAAATGAGCTCCCCTCCCTACTCATCCATAGGGTGGTGGTAGATGTTCGATGCTGTTGCAAATGCTACCATACAACCTTTAATTTCTAAGTTCAGGGCGAACCTTGAGAGCGGCCAACAGCCTAGCACGCAGGTACATCGGCACTCGCCAGGTTCAATATCGGGTAGCTGGCAGGCAGATGCCGAAGTCTAATAACGAAATGCATTCAGCAACTTGGGAACTATTCACAATCACACCCTGATAGTTTTAATTAATATCACATAGCTACATCGACTAGTATGTAGTCGCACACAACAACCTGCAGGGCCAATTGTATGTTCGCATAGAGGTAGGTGCACACGTACTACCTTCCAACTATCATGGTCAATAGCTGCCGCTTTGTCGCAAAAGGAAAAAGACTTCACGCAGAAAAAGACCCCAAAAAGAAAATAAATGTATCAGCTGTGCAAATATAAGCACGTTTTCCCAAACCTGACAGCCTACTCCACCTTGCTGATCCATTTCGAGTCTCCAACACATGTTCTCATAATAGGCGCGCTGGAGATTCAGCAAGGTAAGAGAGCTGCGATGTACCTATCTGACTGACGTGGCCTGCGAGCGAAAAGACCCATTGCTGATTCCACTCGGGTTGTCATTCGGTCCGTTCTTTGTTTTTCTTCTTCCCTCCCTCCCCTCTTCCCCTTCCGCAGACACCATAATTACATGGAAAAGTACAATCATTTTAGTCTGCCTCCGCAAACGCAGCTCTGCCTCCCACACGCCAGGGTTGGTGTTAGTTAGCTAGGCCGGCGAGATCCTCCCTGTTCCAGAGTGAGGGGCTAGTCGCGAGCTGTATTATATCAGCAATTACCCGATCCGCTACTCGTCAAGCCCACCCTCAGATCGATCCAGGTAATCTTCTTTGAAACTAACCCCCCACCCATTTCATCCCATTTCAGAGTTGAGCTTACCGGCTCCGTCTCGGTTGCTCAACTAGTCAACGGCGTCTGCACATCACCTCGGGCCCGGAAACTTCCTCCCAGTAGGAAGGGCAGCGCACGGTCTGTCAATTGGCTTGGTTGAGAAGAGCGGCAAGCTCTTCTTTTTTTAGTTGGCCTTCCCGTTCTGTCTTCATTGTTCAAACTCCAAGGGGGGGCTCAGCCCAGACGGAACCAACGCCAGCCAAAATAACCTTCGGCGGGGCCATTGTGGCGCCCTGCAATGCCTCGGCGCAGTCACGCTTTTAGCGCTGCGCTGCCACTTGACAAAGAGCCTGTCAAAAACCTGTCCATGCCATGGTGGCAAGGGAGGGGGTCACTGCCAGCCACGAGTCAAGCCACCACCACGAGATGAGTGCGGAGGCCGTCGCTGCATGGCCGTAACAGGATGTTTTGATCACTTGTCGCCATACCGAGGCAGGCTGTATGGCGGGAGCACTGGGCGGGTCGGAACTACAGGGTTCATCATGAGGCACCCATTGTAGACAGCTGCTTGCTCGCTGTTGGTTCCTGGGGCGCTTGAAGCGTGGAGGTTACGTGCTGTACCATTGACCATCAATCGCATGGCCCAAAGTAGCAACGGTAAGTCCAGATACCGGCAGTCAGCCAGTGCTACTATTATTGTTCCATCGTCGGCAGATCTTTGCTGTGTTTGAACCTAACCATTGTCAACCGATGGGGATTTTACTTTCCGACGGCTCCAAGCTTTATCCTACAAGGGCAAGATAACCCTGGCTCATGACAGACAGGGTAAGGCAGGTCCTGGCCCCACCAGGATTCCCAATGAAGGGCCTCCTCACTAGAAGCAGCGCCTACCTTATGTACCTTACCTAGGTGATGGGGTGGGATTCTTCTTCCGAAACCTGGCCGCTGTGGTGGTGCAACCTTCACCGGCTCCCGGAAGAGATTGGTCAAGTGAAACTTGGGTGTGGCTAATAGACCCTCTCAAATCGCTAAATCTTAACCTCAAGGCTTCGGCGCACATTATCATCACATGTTTTAAGCGCCCGTCCAGCTGCAACTGGTTTGTTCTCGGCTGTCAACCCGCATAATAGATTACCATATACGTCTATAGGTTCATTAATGTGACTCTTCTCCCTATATCGGCAAGGTCTTTGGCCGCACACGCCACTCATTGCATCCTAGCTCTAGAAGCTGTTGTGCAGCTAGATGCACTAAAGTAGCAACATCCTTTCTCGGCAACCAACTCCCACAAAGAGGGGGGAAGCAGCCACACCCCAAAAGAAAAGAAAGAAGAATCTAGACCAGCAAGCTCGGAACTGCCTCATACTCATACCGGGCATGGTAGGAAGCCTAGATACCATGACATGCAGATGTTTCTCGTGGTACCTATTTCAGGCGAACTGCGGCAGTGCCAACGTCCACGCCGAAGGCATGCCAAAGGCGCACGCGACATCCAGCGCCCTAGGGTAGAGGCGGCTCGATGGGCGGCGTAGCCAGCCTACTAACCTAGCTCAGCTTAGCTGGGTAGGTACTGTAGCCTAGCTGACTGCTGTCCTGCATTTCCTAAACACCAAGGGGTTGCTCCTGCCTTGAGAATGGATGCGCCCGCGAATCACGAATCACGAGGATTGGGCAGGCAGGTACCAGCTGGGATGGCAGGAAGGGACTCGAGCCACTATTGTTTCGATGAGTCATCACGACCACACTCTTCCTCTGTCTGACCAACGGATTCCCAGCCTGTTTGCGATCTCGACATGGGTCCTCATTCCGCGTGTGACCCGATAGCTGTCTAGCATCTGCAGTGCGAAAACCCTTTAACTTTATCCGCATGCCCCATCAGCTCAGGCTTGGCCCCGTGCTCGACCCGACGGCGTCCCAACAAACCCGCGGGTACGTCGAGGCATCCGAGGACACGCATCTGCACTTGAAGCTGTCCTGCATGGCACGGCGTGGCGTGGCATCGAAAGACAGACCCAGGAACCCTCGCGCTAATGCCTGTCTGGGACATCTCCTAGCTTGAAACCGGGGCCATCTGAAACACGGCCTCTTGAGTTAATAACCCCCGTCCCATCGAACCGATTAGTCTTGGTATTATCTTACATGTTATTACCACCCACAATATGAGTGGTTCCTTGGCTATTCACAGCATCCCATCTTATGAGCAGGCATTGCGCATATCAGCCAAACATGTGCTTGCACTACCTGGGACTTTCTCGTGCAACAGTGACACCTGGCACACGGCCAGCCACTGCATGTGTCGTTCGCTCTACTCAATCCGGAAGGGCTCTTGCTGACGCTTGGTTTCTTAGCTGAGCAGCATGTGTATTATAGCGGATACTGCCGTCATATGAGCAGGTGGTATCCAGCTAGCTGGTATTGTTATGCACCAAGCGCTGCGTCTATGCCAGGTCTGATATTGTGCAGGATTAGAGGCTGAGACTTCTAATAACCAACCCTACAGATGGAGCCAGTTCCGCTTCATTAGAAACAAGAAGGAAAAAGAAAAACCCAGGCTAGTAGCACATGCAAATGACCAGGCCCCCATCAGCCAATAGCAGAAATGGGAATCCCAGGAGTAGGTGTGAGAGCTCCTCCGCCTACCCCTCCCCCTCATATCGTTACAAACAACGACCTTGATAATACTACTTGGTTTCACGGCCAGATTTCTCCACCTGCTGGGAGTAGTTCATCCAAAATGGACGGCTGGTTCCCGTTGCATCATCCTCGAGTGATTGGCGCTTGTCGACGCGAACCGGACCCCCCTCGCTGGTACGGGTAGCATCGCTCTGCCCCTACCATGTCGTACGGATATCGCTGCCCCTCATCTCATCGCAAATGATCTCTCTACTGTGGGTACCATGGTCCAGCTAATTCACTTGGGAGGGGAAGGTATCATGATAATTACAGGATTTACCGAATCCGGCAAGCTCGGATAACCCTATACGCTCAACAATACATACTCTAACGTCCGGCCTGGAGCTATCAAAATTTACACGAGGCTTGGCAAACAATTCTGCAAGCTCTGCAAGCATGGCCACAATAAGTCGCATTGTGGCGGTCTCGAATCATCGCTTCCCCAGCATTTGAGGGGCTCGGCCGGCCCCAATTGGCAACGATCGCTGAAGATCACTCCCATTTTGAACATGTCTTGGTTTTTAGTATATCCAATCGTGGGTAATCGGATGACCAACAATCGAAGCTTTTCCAGCACCATCAGAAGGCATCGAGTAGAATTGTGAGTCGAACGAACGAATGCCGTACGACCTGTAATGCAAGGTAGTACACCGGGTGAAGGCTGTCTCTGTGTTATTCGAGACGCACTGCTTTTGGGCCACGAAAGAGCAAGATGATTCGATACGTCCACTTCCGAGGGAGTCACCCGCGCGCATCTCGTGCACCGTCAAGCGTAGGGCGGTTATATTTGGATGTCAACTCATACTCTTTTGGCGGGATAAAAGCCCACCGGTTTCCAATTTTGGCAGTTGGCGCGGTGGAAGAGCAGCTAACAAGCGAAGCGACCGATCCTCCAGGTTTGCCAGCTTGAGATCTTTTCGGAACTACCGAACGAGCAATTGTGACACGGACCACACACCACACTCACTCTTTGCATTGACCATGGCAAGTCCAACCGACATACGTACCTTGTTACTGTGAGGGACCTCATTGAGAGACGGAAGGGCGAAAAGTCTATCACAATCAGAAAAGCCAATATCGGATGACCAAGGATTTTGGGGCTGGCGCCCAGCCGAGATTGAGAAGGACCACGCCTTCCGCATGCACCCAAAATGACACTTTCAGGGCACATGCATGATAAATGACCAGAGCATCATAATCATATCATGAGGCTCGATTGATTCTCTGCACGCCTATCAGCCGCAAATTTGATGCCACATCACTCTTCTACTCCCTTGAGCTACCCAGACCCGGTTCGAAGAATGCGAAGCTCCGAATCAAGCAGCCCATCCAACTCTTTGGGCAAATGCCGAATGTAGGGGCATCTTGTTGATTACGCAAGAGGATCAGTGCAAGTCGTAAGCCCTTAAGACATCGACGATCACGGGGCAACAGATCGAGTAGCTTTATCTCCGAATCTTTCTTCTCTGCTGCCAGCAGCGTAAGACTCAACAATTCGAGACCTGGCGGAATCTACCACACCATCATTTTGACCCAAGTGCCATTCCCTGCCCATACAACACAGGGATTAAAGAGCCAAGGGGATCCATGCCTTTGCCTTTCCCTTTTGACCTTTGGATGCTGAGATACATGCGTCATTCACCATCAAGCCAACTCGTCGGCGGAAATGTCACAGGTCCTTTTGGGCCGACGGGCTCCTCACTGTAGCAATTTTGGGACGACATTCCGGGCCCAGACAAGTCAAGGCCGCCCCTCACATCCGAGCTCACCCCCCTGTTACTTCTCCCACTGAGGGCTATGGTGGTATTGCAGTACGCACACGCATGCAGCGATATGCGAGTCAGAGAAGACCCGACTTTTAGGCCAATTGGTAAGTCAACAAGGGTACACCCCCGGCACACTCGCACTTGCTGCGGAGTGCTGCAATGCACAAGACGCAGCTGGTTTATATAGCTTTTGGACAGAACCCTGGCCTCAGCAGGCTGGAACAAGCATAGGCCTGTGGCGCACAGCAAAGGAATACATCTGCTAATGTCGTTGATGTGCGAATCAGCATCCAACGAGCATTGTAACATATTATGTAATTGCTGGCGTTATTCATTGCAATGCCACTGCGGAGGGAATCGGACGGTTCAGACCCCAGAGCCGCGTTCATGGCACACGGACTTGGCTCGAGACCGGGATCCAGCATTGTACCAGAATGGCCTCACCTCCCATATCCGGAACGAGTTTTTTCCTTCGTTGTTTGATATTTCTCTTTCTGTTCCCGGCTTGATTTGCAGAGCTCTCTCTCTCTTTCTGTGTATTCTCCACATACAAGGTGCGTACAAACAGCCACTGGCACGGTGAACCTCGAGAATCGCCCCGGGTTCGTTGGATTGGATGGCCAGAAAGTGGCCAAGTATCCTGCCAGCCAACACTGCCCATACAGAGGCGCAATGCAAGAACCCTCCCTACACGCCCAGTTGCTGCACGGCTTACCAGCCCGCATACGGTAATAATAATAACAATAACAACAACAATATCTACAGCGGTACGCGATTGTTTTTGGCTGTGATCTAATCAGCACAAATCACATACGCCCTTACTGAGCATGCAAGCCTCTTCGCCACCACCGACCCCTCACCAGGAGCATATGTGAATGGCCCGGGACATAATAACATGCCGGTATTGTGACGAGCCAGGCGGTGTGGATGGCATGTGTCTTTCATGTGATCATTTACTCAATCGGTGGCTGAACTGGTCCAGACCACCGTTCTCTATGTAGACTCTCTGCATAACATCTCGTGCCGTCAGCAAACGCCCATTTCGTTTGCTCACCAAGACACTGGTTTAACCGTCCTTTAATCCAGCACGTGAAGAAGAAAAAATTGAGGCGTACACCGTACACGATGCATGAGAGCACCCCGGTCTGGAGCTGCCGCCTATGCTAATATGCCTGCCCATATACCCAGGAACGAATTTATCAGATCGATAGAAGAAGAAAAAAAGGGAACCAGTTTTGAAAAGAAAGAGCTGGGAAGGAGACAGAGCACCGCCCAACCACCGAAGCCGGACGCACGGTGCTCGCCCACGAATCAACGAAGCGCCTCGACACCCGGAATGTTTGCCGCTCAGATGAACCAATAGACACAAAGGGGAAGAAAAAAGGTTTAGAAAAATGCAAGGAGACGGAATGGGGAAGTTGGCAAGCACACATCGGGAAAGGGGGTAGGTAGGGGGATAAGCTGAAGAGGTAGCCGGGGAGGGAAAAAGTGTATGGGAAAAAGTTTAGGGGTGATAGATCAGGTGTTATACGTCGTATATGCTCCTCTTTCTGCATTATAGTTGCATTTCTTTTGCTCTAATAAAACCACCCCGTTTGGTCGCTTTCTAGCAACCATTCTTGATGGGGTCCAACCAAGCGCATTCGAGAATGGCAACGCTGCGCGGACTTTATGATAGGTAGGCTATATCTAGTATTGCCAAATTTGGGACCGAGACTCGCCTGCTTAGTTCGGTGGCGGCAACGGGTTATTCAACGGCTTTCTGGCTATGAGGTGTTTCGGTTGCTCTGACGTTGAGTCCGGAGCACGAGTGTGGGGTTGATTAGGTTCGGCTGCGTTGGAATTTGACTTGGGTCTAGTATCGACCTCATCAGGTATACCGTTGCTGGCGTGGGGTTTAATCAGCTTAGAAGGCTGAGGCGGAGGGGGCTGTGAGTTCGGAGTAAGACTCATGTGAGGGGGAGACGGCAGGCTTTCCGACGAAGTCCGCGTTCGATCGGCGATGGCAGTGGCTGACGCGCCATTGTTCTGTGAATGAGCTGCATTGGGACCGGTGTCGAGGGGTACAGCGCTGGCGAGCACGGGACTCTCTCTCGATTCCAAGGCGTCGGAATCGACAGGCTGGTTGAAGACGGCACCGTCCCTCATTGGGTCTGACACTGTCAATGCAGGACTAGCCGAAGATGATGTTTGGGTGTTTGAGGCGGGGCTGGAAACCTTCCTCGTGGGCGCACGAGGAGGATCGGCGACTAGGTCACTTGCTGGATTCTGCTTCGAGCTCAGATACGCGTTCAGCTTCTTTTTCAGCACCTCGGACCGGACGGGCTTGGCTAGGTAATCATTCATGCCTGCGGCTATGCATTTCTCCCGGTCTCCCTGAATGGCGGATGCCGTCATGGCGATGATGAGCACATTTCTCACCGCCTCATTCGAGTCCTTCCGGATGAGCTTGGTTGCTTCGTAGCCATCGAGAACGGGCATGTGGACATCCATCAGTACGATGTGGTAAGGGTCGCCTTCCTTGGCTTTCTTCCGCAGCCCCTCAACTGCCTTCATTCCGTTCTCATATGCGCTGACGTTATGGTATCCTAGACGCTGGACGTACTGTATTGCAATCTTCTGGTTGATAGGATTGTCCTCGGCAACGCATATTCGGAGTTCCTCTTTGGAAATATTAGAGAGGCTGAAGTACGGTTCGGGGGGTGAGAGCTGCTCAGAGGGCGGGAATGAGATGGTACGTTCGATGTGCGGCGTAGACTTTGATTGAACGTCCCCTGCAGCCACATCCGATTTGGCCTTGTCGAATGAGACTGTAAACCAAGCTGTAGTGCCCACTGTCTCCTCACTCTCCAGCTGAATCTTGCCCTTCATCATAGTCTGGATGAGCGACTTGCAAATACTCAGACCGAGGCCACTCCCGCCATACTTTCTTGCGGTGCTGGCATCGGCCTGGCTGAAGGGCTGGAAGAGTTTTGCGAGCTGTCGAGGGGGGATACCGATGCCGGTGTCGCGCACCCAGAACGTCAACGTTGCTTTCTCCTTGGTTTCCGAGTCGAGTCTGGCACCGATTGTAATGGAGCCATCCTCTGTGAACTTCAAGCTGTTACCAATAAGATTTCCCAGAACTTGGTGAAGCCGTATGGGATCTCCGTATATCAGCATGGGCGGCAGATTGATGTCTTGGATAATCCTGACATTCTTCTTGGAAGTTTTCTCTCTGTTGCTATATGACACGGCACGAACAACTTCTCGGACCATCTCCTCAGGGTTGAAGGCGATGACGTAGAGCTTCATTTTATCAGCTTCCATCTTGGAGAAGTCAAGGATATCATTGATGACCGTCAATAAAAGATCGGCTGATACACGGATCGAATCTGCCATCTCGAGCTGATCCTTGTTCAGGTCACTGTCACGAAGAAGCTCCGAATTGCCAATGACACCGTTCAGAGGTGTGCGGAGTTCGTGGGAAACATTGGCTAAGAAGATTGACTTGGCCTTGGCGGCTTCTTCGGCAAGCTTGACGTTACGCTTAGCCTCTGCCTCGGCATTCTTGGCCTTGGTCTCTGCCTCGATGGCCTTGTCCAGTGCCCGTTTCTGGATAGAAATCATAGACCGGTTCTCTGCCGAGATCTTCTCAACATTCTTCATGG